AAAGCCTTGGAGTTGCAAATCGCAAATCGAAGGAGATGATGAACAGCGGGCCCATAAGATCCTGAAACAAACGACTGAATGCACAACCAGCGGACGATTTCCAGGGCCTACTGCATCTTCCTCTTTAGAAAATATCATAGGAGGAGGAGAGTCATCTTGGATTTCTTGATTCACGTACGGAACGTTGTAGGAATTCTCCAACTGGTTCAGATGGCACGGATATTTGTGCGGACTGCAGCAACAGCTTCATGAATGACCATCGTGCTGGATGTACTTGCTACTCGATCATCAGCTTCGAGTGACATGGCATGGAACAAACAGGAATAGGGACATCGGGATTGACATGCACTTCTGGATTATTCGGTACAGCTATGACATCTTGAACCTCATCGAGCAGGATTTCCCATGGTAACTGCTGCGTCGATTGCTCTGGGCCATGAGAATTGTGACGAGAGCGCATTTGGTTGACATGCGACCACACCAGCTTCGGTCTTCCGTTTATCTCCAGGGGAACGATATAGTTGACAGAACCTTTCCGTTCGATGACTCGACCAGGAATCCAGGACTTGGCGTTTCTGTGATGACTGATCCATGCCGACGATTGAACTGCTCGTTTTGTTTGTGGTTCTTGGCACCTTGAGTAACAGGAACAGGTTTCTTCAACAGGTCCACAGTAGTTTGCACTGGTCTTCTGCTGGAGACGTCGATTGTGGTGTGTTTCGGTTCGGAATTGAGCGATTGAGCGAAAGGAATATATCTGCAGGTGCTCCAGTGTGGGCAAGCTTCCCCCTTGGTTATCTTCTTGAGACAACGCTTGATTGAATCAACGAATCGCTCTGCTTGGACATTGGGTAATGCCATATGCGCGGCAATACTGTTGAAACTGCTTGCTGGTGGATTGCGTTCCGTTGTCCGAAACCAATGTGTCCGGGTTGGAATAGGGAGCTAACGATTCACGAAGCATATTTAGGGTTGCAGTTGTGGTGATAAATTGCGTGCGAAAAATTTCGGGCCACTTTGAGAATGCATCCACTATGACGAAATAGTAGTATCCATCAATTAAGCTAGCAAAATCAATATGGACACGTTGGCATGAATTGTCCAAGAGAGGTCACGATTCCAGGGTTGCTTTTTTGGCATCGGCCAACGGAATACTATGGCAGTACGGAGGACAACTTGCGACCGGCAGTGGAAGACGAAGACTTTTAACAAGGATCTCTTCGTTAAAGCACTCCGTGTGACAGGGGCTGCTCCGCGGATCTGACCGCGGACAAGCTGACAGAAACGATAGTGAGAACATGTGACACGACCATGCCGAGGACACTTTAGCCAAATAACGGACGGCGTCCAGCTTACTGGTCGAAGGAGGTATTTAGCACCCTCCGCGCTAGTTATCTCAGAGCCAGAAGACGTGTTCAGAACAGAAGCATACAGAGAGGAACGTATAGGAGTGTGCCGAGCGATCAGGGCCGCACTTAAACGAGAGATAAAGCAGGACAAGTCAAACTGTTTTGAGGAGCTGTGTCGAGACGCTGATGCCATGAGGCGATCAGAGGTCCAACAATGCCCGCTGAAATGTCATCATGGAAGAACTTTTCCCGAAGCACAACCCAACGACCTGGCCACCTGGAGAGGGAGAGGGAGATAACGTCGAAGTCACCAACGAGGAACAGAAATGCCTGGACGAGGTGGAAGATACAGAAGCTAGTGTTGCTGCCGAAACCAGGAAAACCGCCGGGGACCCACTGCTGGATACACTCGGAAAACTACCCGTAACGAAGAGGGTCGATATCAAGTTCGTCTCTAGGTGAAAGAAGAACTCCTGCTTCGTCTTCAGAACAACAAACAACGCATTGCGTCTCGAGCGGAAACTGAACACGAATCCCGCACTACGTGCTCAATACGAAGAGTTCATCAACGAATATTTACGTTTGGGCCACATGCGGGAGGTACCACTGGAAGAACTGGCAGCAGAAAACGACGCATCACGCCATTCTTCGCCCTGACAGTACGAACACGAAGCTCCGCATTGATTTTGATGCTTCTTGCAAGAGCTTCTCCGGATTATCGTTAAATGACGTCCTCCTGACTTATCATAATATACGTAGGGACACGATCAACGCAACCGTTCTCCTCTTTTAGATGCCAGCTTTTGTCATCATGGGCAATCTCTGCAAAATCCTCAAGCATCCTCTCGTCTTCTCCGGATCTAGTGGCGAAGGAACAGCGCGAACAGCGATGCGACGATCTAGAGAAGCTGAAGCAACTCTGATCCCAACTTCTCGGAATATTCGAGAGTGCTGGGATGCCCTTTCCGTAAAATATCTTCGAATCACCGGGAAATTCTTAACGAAATTCCCGAAGAGTGTGGAGAGACCATATCGCTCATTGAGTTTGACTACGAAGCTCCTGGCAAGGCCCTTGGACTTCTGTGGGAGCCGGCAACTGATTCGCTCCCCTACAAGATGCCGAAGTTTTCCAAGTGGTTCAACCGTCGTGAAGGCCGAAATCCTCCTCCAAACGCTATGGAAGCTGGACTACGACTGGTATCATCCGCTGCCTAGGGCTTTTGCAGCTGAATGGGAAGAGTATCAGAGCTACTTCAGCTGATTGCAATCTTTTCGATTTCCTCGGCATGTTCAGTCACTGCGTCGCCCTTCCGTTGTTGAAATTCACGTGATCAGCGATACATTTGAGCACGAATCGCTCAATTAAACAACAAATCCAAAGTACGATTGGAACTATGTACGGCGTTGCTCTTATCCCGGTTGCTTCTTTCCGTCTGCACCAGCATTGGAATCAAGGAAAGCATCTTTCTGTGGACCGATTCCACAATCTTGCTTCACTGGTTGTCGGGATGTCCATCCACCTGGCGAACCGTGTCGCTGGAATTTAGGAGCTAACAGTTAACTGCTCCTGGCCCGGCGAAGAAAATCCCGCTGATATCATCTCACGGGGCATGGATGAGAGTCAACTTTTGGACGATTCGCTTTGGTAAAATGGACCACTGTGGCTCGGTGCTCTCCCTTGGTCGCAACCACCAGAAGATCTCGGCCGACTGAAAGGAAAGGAGTTTGAAAGGGAATAGCGCTTCCTATCGCGATATCATAACTCGTCGTCGTTTTCCGTATTCCTAGTCTTGCAGACCGTCGCAATCAGACAACCAGTCCTCCTTCGAAAACCAGTACGGTTCGATTACTGTAGAAGAGCAAAATTCGTCCCACACTCAAGTTACGCTACCTTAATCCGGAGCTCCGTGCTGGTCTTATTCGCGTTTGTGGCCGGCTCAAACACGCCGGAGTCGCTGTTTATTGATTCTAGCCATTTAGCGGCCGGAACCTCGTTCGTTTCACACAGTCGTTCGGCTTTGAAAACGTTGGAGTCGACTCTGCTGGTCCATTACATCTCCAACGACTGTCTTCGTCTGCATGGTCACAAAAGCATCGAACGTTAGCATTAGCAGCTTCATAGCCAGCAGGGGTTGGCCACAGCTACTCCCCCTTATTCTGCGAGTCACGTGACTCTCTGTCACCGGTGAGGTGACAAAAGTCACCTCGTGTGAGGTGACTCTCTGTGCAAATCAAATGGAGAGTCACCTCACAAGGGGCGAAAATTGTCACCTCACCGGTGAGGGAGACTCACGTGACTCGCAGAATAGGCGGGACTAACTTTGTGGACGTTGAACGGGAGCTTCGCAATCTTTTTCGCTCGCTCTAACGAGACCAGCTCCCAATCGATCCACTTTCACTACATCCCAACCCAAGCACCTACTTTTGGAGGGTTATGGGAAGCCTGTGTCAAGTCGATGAAACCTCATCTACGACGGGTCATTGGAAACGCTTTCTTGCCACGCGAAATATTTTGCACCATCCTAGCGCAAGTCGAAAGACCCATCATACCGGTTTCCAGTGACCCAAATTATCTGCAAGCCCTAACACCAGGGCATTTCCTAATTGGTCGGCCTCTGGATGTTTTGGCGGACCCCGATTACACCAGCCTTCCTGAAAATCGTCTACGTTTGTGGGAACGAGCTCAACGCCACACGCAGCACTTCTTGCAAAGGTGGCACCGTGAACACCTAACAACCCTACAACAACGGTACAAGTGATCATCCGTAACCCGCAACCTGTTTGTCATGATCCAGGAAGAGTCCCTCTCAGTTTTGAAATGGTCTCTGGTGCGAAAGGTCGACATTCATCCGAGTGCAGGTGGAATGGTGCGCGTAGCCTCCACCTGGTTGATGAAACGCTCCATTTCCAAGCTCTGTATCCTTCCAATCGAGTTTGAAATCTGTTTCTGATCTTAATTAAAATTCGAAACACAAAGCCCTATTTAAGCGCCAATGCCGTTCATAAGATACGAAAAAATTCTATGAACAGTTTAAATTTCAGAATCAGAATTTGATAAGCTTTCACGATGCTTAGAAACATCAATACATAATTAAATTCTAGAATTTAGATAATTTGTTTGCGGGTCAAGATCTTAAAACTTGTGAAATTTGCAAAATCTTGAAAATCCGTTTGAGAGAAAATTATGGTGCCTTATCTCTTCCTACCACCCCCAGGTGCGCATAATGACTCCTATTATTTTTGTTTCTTGTGATTGGAAACATTTGAAAAGGGCCTATCAACATTTGTAAACACAACTTGCTAGGCCTTTCTCGCGCGAACCGAAGCACGCCCTCGCCATCCCAGAGCACTATCGGAAAGGGGAGAATTTCCCCTACCCGATTGGTGTTGTTGATTTGAATGGCCGAACTTCGTTTCGCGCGAAACGGGACCTAACATATTTTCCTTACCAAAGTTGATAGGCCCTTTTCAAATGTTACGCCCGATTTCACCGTATTTCATTGAAGCATTCTGATTCAGTGAGTCCCGGTCCAGTAAAGAATGGCACCTTCAAGCTAATAGCACGAAGTCTTGCGATCATTGATTTGCAGGTTAAGTTGTTTACTATTGGGCAAATTCGTCCTATCGTAACGTCACCAAACCCACACTCACCTGCACCACATGCAGATAGTTCGCCAGACAGCTCTTGATGCACTCGTAGTGGTTTTCGTTCTCCACCAACAGCACCAGGATGATCAGCACCGAATCGTTGATATGTGGCAGCAGCAGCGGATCCCGTGCCAGCCGCTCCGCCTCCGACGCCGTACACTGGACAAGGGTCTACAAATGGAACGGGTAATCGATTATTTTCCCTACGGTTAGAATTGTGACGAAAAGCCAACCTTGGACAGGAACAGCCGCACGTGAGTCTGGGAAGTGTTTTCATCGATGGCTCCCTGGTGCAGGAACTTGGCGAACTCCTGCGGCGTTTGCCCGGCCGCGTAATCCACAAACACCCGATGGAAGTAGTACTTGGAAATCTGAGTGAAGCGCTCCGTTTGCTCCCGGAAGCGGCGTTTGGCTGAAAAAAATAAATCGGTTTAAAATTAATTTCCAGCAATCTCCCAAGCCAATGTCATATGCATTACATTCTTCCTTCAGCGATCGCAGCATCCGCACCGGTCCGGGAATGATCTTCAGGATCTTTTCGAGCAGCGTGATGCGCTCGATTCCGTGCGGGTGCGTCGGTTCCAGTTTGGTAACGTCGTAGCGTAGTTTTTCGGATATTTCCGCCAGCTTCAGGGTGACCTGTTTGAGCGAATCTAGTTTGAACCCGTTGAGATTCTTGTCGATGACCAGATGCATCAGACCGAGCACTTCGGTCAAGGCAATCAGGTTGGACTGGCGGAAGGCTTCGTCGACGCCTTGCAGGAGATAGCCCTGAAGGAAGTGATTCCGCTCGAAGAGGTCCAGCCCGAAGAGTTTGAGGACGAACACCGAAAGGGAGTTGGATTTGGTGATTTCGAACTGACCGGACAGAAGGGAGCGGACTTGGGCACTGAGATAGGGCACCGACAAGGATTTGGTTTTGGCGATCACCTGGGTGATGGCGAAGATGTAGTTGGCATTGTTGAAGCCCGTATCGTACAGGGAACGGGTCAGCCGTTGGTAGAACAAGGAGGGACACTGGAAGATAAGCCGCAGCGGGATGTCGGATTCGTCGTCGCCGAGATGCATGGAACTGGAGTTGAAGCGATTGGTGTACTCGATGATCTCTTCGACGAGGGTGGGCGTTTGGTAGCGATCGTACTCCAGCCCGTAGGTTGCGATCATAAACTTGATCAGGGTGTTGGCTTCCTCGAGGAGAAGGTAATCGATCGATTTCAGGATCAGTTCGCGGAGTTTGGCTGCCTCTTCGGAAGGTCCGTCCGGCTCCATTTCGTCTTCGTCGAGCGGTCGATTGTCGTATTCGATGAGCTTCCGGACATTATCGCCGGAAATGAGGTCCATGTTCTGATCGATCAGGTCCAGACATTCGAAGTTGCCGAAAACCTGAGCACCGCGGCGGAGGAATTCGTTGAAGAAGAGCCTCCGTTCGAACAGCTCCCGGCAGGTTTCGAGCTTTTCCATCAGGTCTCGCATAGACAGTTCCATGGCTTTTTCGGCTTGGGATTTCGGCCGCAGAGAGATGGCTGGCAACTGTTTTAGAACGTTGTGCTTAAGGATCTCATTGTCTTTGAGCATGTCACAAAGCTTGAAGGCCGATTCACCGATGAACTGCTGCAGGGTGACCTTGTCTCCGTTCGCTCCCACAGATACGTCAATCTCAACCCAGTACATGAACCCATCGACGGTCACTTCCATCACGCAGGTTTGCAAAGTATTCAGCAGGCAGTTGTTGATCTTCATCAGATGTCCATCCGTCCCTTGGGAGTACTGTTCCGGGATCTCCTTCTTCGGTACGTGCTTCTCGTCCATAATCTGGTAGATCGCCATCTTCTCGTCCACCTTGAACAGGCTCTTGTTCAGATACAAATCCATACAGTACAACACGATGCTGAACATGTGCTTCAACGCAAATCCATAATACCGGTGCATACTCAACCGGGACCACCGCTCGAACTTGCCCGTATCCGGAGTATTGAAGAACCGCAGCAGCTCCATCAGAAAGTCGAACAACTTTGAAAGCGTTCGCTGCTGCTCGACAAACCGATTTCGATCGACCTTCTTCCAATCGTTATCCGTCCGGCAGATGCTGAAGTAGATCGCCTTTGCCATCGATTCCACTCGTTCCAGAATCTCAAACGGCTTCGAAAACTTCAAACTGGTTACCGCCTGGTCCATAAACTGCATCATGAACCACTGTGGCGTGTACGACAGAATCTCGTAAAAGTACTCATCCAAACTGGCCCCCCAAATGCAATTGATTAGCAGGCATTTCGTCAGCTGGGGAACTGTATTCAGCAGGTGGCACAGCTTCGTATCCCTGGACAAGTCAAACTTGAAACTGACGTCCGTATTCAGCACCATAAACAGCGTAATCTTCCGCAGCTGATGCTCGCATTCTTTAATCGGTTTGTTGTTCTCGTTCAGATAGCGCCGGACCCGGAGGTACTTTACCAGCCGCGCCACAATCTCGATGATGTACGGTTCGTTTCCTGTCCAAATAAAAACCAAACTTTTAGTGCAACCACCCTCACAAACCCGACGAACGTCTTACCTCCATGGAACACAATCTTATCGAACGTCCGCACAAACTGATTCGTGTGGTTGAAAATCATCTGCAGCTTGGCAAAGTCCTCGCAAAACTCCATCTCGTCCTCGTCGGTGCACTGTTTGATTTCCCGGAGCAGATCGGACCACTCTTTCATTATCATTACCCACCGGGGCCGACGTAGAGATGATGATCTTCCGGAGTGCTGTTCAAAGCATTCGCGCGCACTGCCGTCACCGAAAGAGATCTTGGTGGGGGCGGAACGCTAGCCGCTAATCAACCCGTACCACGATTGTCACTGTATTGATGATGCACGCTTTTTTTTTTGTTTACACCACAATTTCAAGACCGACCAAGTCGCGTTCACTTGAATCCACCAAACGTACGGTATTTCACGATTTTCACCGACAACTTCGCCTGCGCCTCGAAGGGTACGATTCCAACTTCAATCGGGAGCACAATTCCGGACGAATTTGCACGGGAACTAGACACCAGGGTCATAAAATACACCGCAGCTCGGAAGGAGTCGAACTCGCGTCGTACTTTTTGCGCCCAGAAATTTTGTCCTTTTGTGTGCACGTTTGACAGCTGGTTGACGTTTTTTGCACATGACGACAGCGGTCGACTTTTGATGCGGTGGGGGCATTTGGAAATGAGGACTCGTTTCCAATGCCAAATTTGCACTGTAAACACTGATAAATTAAACTATTCAAATTTTGCTTGCAATTTAATCAATTTGACATTAAACTCATGAACTGCAGTTTAATTTTATCGAATGATTAAAAATTCATACACTCTTTCTAAAAACCAATCGTCTGATATTAAACCCAGTTTAATCATGGTTGATTAGATTGAAAATTATCTCTTTTGAATAAAGTTAAATTATTTTTGATTCTATTTTAATAATTTTTGATTGAATTTTAATCTTTTTTTTTATTATAAATTAAATTGAAAACAAGGGGTAACCCACTCTGCCACCTTGTGTTTAACACTCCAAAAACACAGTTCGACACACTCCAAACACACTTCCACCAGTATTAATTCTGGCACCACGTCCATCACTGTTTACATTCGATCAAGCATTCGATTGTTATGTTTATTAACAGTAGTTTTGCATCTACGACGAATTCATTCAGAGAGATATGCGAGAGATGGCTCAGAACGTGGCAGAGAAGGCAGCCATTGGTGGACCTTCTCTCGAAAGCTTGTATGGGAGGTACGCGGATCGACCACATGAGTTTAGTTTCATGGAGGGGGAGATCCTGTGCATTCTGGATCTTGCGGATATTGTGCGAACAAATGGAATTAATCCGTTTTTAAAAGCACGTCAAAAAGCGCGAGTCAGGGCGTGAATGCATCTTGGGTCCGCCGAAGAACAAGACGACGAATTTGATGGCCACAAGGAAAACTCTGAATGAAGAGCTTTTTCTACGTTAACCAAGGTTTGGTCACTCTACAAACTTGTTTTTTGCCAACTTTTTTCTCAGTGTACCTAGTGTGCCACAGAGTTGGCACGGCAGTGCCGCGAAGTAATTGAACTGACTTTTGTGTGGTTGTGAATTATGAATTTTTTGGCAACCCGGTATTCTGACAACTCTTGATTTTGTTTTGTTTTTCGAAACCGAAGAACTCAATTGACGACGACGATCTTGGGCGGCCGGAGCCGGAAAGCGACAGCGGTCAAGACAGTGATGGATGCTTTGTGCTAGCTACGACCAGAGCTGCTAAATATCACGGCCGTCATTTTTGAGAAAACAGGTCCTCTCACTATCACGAGACGAAACTACCTATCATAAGCTTTCATGTCATTTTTCAATGAACAAACACTCATGAGAATAATTTTTATGTTGTTTTGACATCAACATTTCTAACTGATTTAGATGAATTTAAGCAAACAACCGTATGTGATCGGTAGAGTGAATATATTCTTAAGATATCTTCGGAACAAGTAACTTTAAAATCATTAAATGAGCTAGTAAATCGATGATATTTTGAAGAAAATCTCTATCATCGTTTTCTCATCCAATGATAGTGACAGAAGTATCTCTGTAAATATCGCGTGAGATCTTTCAAGCGACGAACAGAAGAAGAACACCAACGGAAGATCAAAGCCATGAAGCAGCTGTACCAACCGCCGACGGTAGAGGAAATCAATCGGTTGAAGGAAACGGAAAATTTCTACCACTCGAATCTGTTCCGGCTGCAGGTGGAAGAGATGCTAAGGGAGGTGAAGGTGAAATTTAAGGTGTTAAATTATATTTAGCGTTAGTTGGACGATTTTTCGGAAGTTTTTGGTATAAAAAAAGGACAATGAACGATCTCTGAAGATTGTGGATTATGCGAAGGGGTTGATTTTCCGCTGACATTTCCCGACGGCTCGCATGTTCTCGAAAAGGATAGCTTCAAATTAGTTCAGCAACGGATCGATCGTGCACCATTCGATCCAGTCGTTTGGGAACATCTTATGGCAAGCCACTGAGGAGTAGATTTACTGCTGGAAATTTCGGGCAAGTGCTTCCGGAAGGAAGATTTACCTGAGCCAGTTCCACCGCCGAGCGAGTGCATAAACTTAAAGCCATGCAGGTAATCGCAACCCTTGGATTCCTTACGGACATCATCCAGCACAGAATCCACCAGTTCGGCACCCTTGGTGTAGTTTCGTTTGACCCAGTTGCTACCAGCACCGGACTGCCCGAAAACGAAGTTATTCGGTCAGAACAGCTGCCCAAATGGTCTCGCTCAGACCAAATCTATAGTTCCCGGCTCAGGGTTGATCAGAACCTCTCATGAAACGTTCTTTCTTCCGGTCACGGGAGTCTGAGTAACGACTTTAATAACGGAGATGGAGCCGGTAATGTTGAGATTGATTGAATGGTGTTGCTATGCAAACAATTGCCCTGTTTTTTTTTCATGTACCTTCTTCTTCGGACAGGCAATAGGATGTGCGCTGACTGTATTTACTTTGTGGAATTAAATTCGATTTTGGAGAATCACTGGCGGGTTACAGCTTGATGGAGATTCACGGTTATGGTTTGTAAAAATTGGATTGTACTGTGGCAACATCAATGAACAATTTTGACACATGCACTATGCACAGGCCGAGGGGGGCTACTCTATCTACGATGAAGGAGAAATTGTTTTTTGCTGTGGTTAGCTGCGCGCACGCTGAGTAGATAGTAAAAAGATTTATGACGATTCTGAAGATTTCTTGCAAAAAGATGATGCACGATGCAAGTAGATGCGAGTAATTAAAGAAGATTTTTGGAAGATTGATTAGCTAGTGTGAGATTTGTTGAGCACCTAGAATTGAGATTTAGATGTGTCGTCCCCCTCGGCACAGGCGCAGAATAAGTTCAGTGTTGCCAGTATCTTTAAAGATCATACAAAATGTAACCATGGGTGCCAAACAGCGCCAATGACTGCGCCCAGATGTAACCTCGGGTGTGCCCAAGTTTGATTTTGACACACTGTGTAGAGTGGCCAACCCCTTGATGTCAACCAATACATGCGTTTGAGTATTGTGTGACAAGCACCTGGAACCAGTGCTGCATAATCTCGACGGAGGTGATATTGACAATTCTGCTTTGGTCACTCATTGGAGCTAACAGTCATAGTCAAGGCAAACCATGTCAATTCCCTAATAAACAAATACCATAAACGAACTGTATCCCGGATGGGTAAACTATCCCACAAATGGTTTGGACGATACCCCGAACACGTCGTTAAGCTCTCTTTTATGGTTATTTTTATTAGGGTTGTCAATGACAATGCTGTCAGTGACGAACATGTGCAGATTTATTTATTAGCCAAATTTGTAACGAAATTAAATGACTTGAGCAAAACAATTACATGGATCCATTTGAGTGAACAAGTATCTACGTCCTGAGCTACTTGGATAACAATAATGTGACACAGAATGTACTAAATTACACTTTTTGTTACCAGGTGAATCTTTGTCATTGACGAAAAATGAATGAGATTTTGATGAAGGTTTTTTTGAGGATCAAGTCTGTCAGTGACTATGTGACGAACAATTTAGTCAATATCACGCGAAAGTCTGACAAATCTCAGCACTGCCTGAAACAGTTAAAAAAATCTTCCAGTTACTCCCAGCTTTATTAGGCTTCCATATTAAATTTATATTTGTAAGAAAAGTCTTGCACTACACAGAAAAAAAAGTTGTTGAATATTACATCCAAACAGCTGCACAGAGATTATTCCGTCGGTTGTTGTAATATTACGTTGTACGATGTCTATCGATTTTACGAACAAAATTACATCCATTGATGTCATATTGTATCTGCTTTTTGCTATTACATCTTTATTTCATACATCAGCTTGAATTACGGTGATCGATATTACATTTTTTTTTGCTGTGTATAGGTACGAATTGTTGTGTTTAGCGAGGTGTTTAGAGGCTTTGCAATAAGCCGAGGATGTAGTTTTTTACATCTTCATCTTGATTAACCCACAAAACGCTACAAATTTTATGCTTCGTTCAAATGCCGGGCGGTGGTGGTGGAACGGAAGCCGATCCCGGTGGTACGGCTATCGGCACGTCGCCTTCGATCTCGATATTCACCGATTTCACATTGATTGAGCCCTTTTCATTCATCGATACGGTCCATCCCGCGAAGCGCACGTTTAGCAGATTGTACAGCTTCTCAACTGTTCACAGGGTTGGTCCCGGATCGTCAATTTTCACCTTCACAATGAATCTGAAACAAGTATTTAAACTACATTTCAAGAATCACGCTTAAAACACCGACAAACCGACATGAATGATCATACAAAGTATCGTCAAATTTCTGATCAAAGCACAAAACTGACATCTGCCGTCGTGTTCGCGAAAAATGTGTATCCTAGTTGTATCCTATGAGTTGGTTCGTGTCTCATCTATTCCGGGCAAATTATTTTTATCTAGATAACAAATTTCTATGGTTTTGACAGATGGGATCGCTGCACATTTGAATCCGCCGTTATGGATTCTCGATCAAGAGTTAAGTTTTAGTTTCATGTCGGTTTGTCGGTGCTTAAACGGCATAAAATTTACCTTATTACGTGACGATTGATTCCACATTAAATTTTGTTTAAATTTTAATTTAAATTTTATTGAAGATTTCGTTGATGACGCTTCGGATCTGGTGGCTCGGCCCTTTTCTTTTTAGCTTCATCCTTTAGGTTCACACTACTGGATCAGCTGCATGATGCCTTTCGCGTCTGCATGAGCACTGACACTCATTTATTTGACCTGCCAATTCTCGAACTCCACATTTTTCGCTCCACCAAGAATCTTGTGTTCGACCGTTCCCTGGACGCAATAATATCAACAATCAATACGAAACTAACGATTTTAAATTGGCTCACTACTTGACTAGTCTATTGGTCCCAAGCAAATCGACTAACGTACCCCATTCTAGTATAAATTCCAGTACTACACTATGTTTGTTTTGATTCGCTATGAAAGTTTGACAGATAAAATGAGGGGTTAGTGGATTTTCCTATGTTTCGAGCGGTGAATCGATTAGCTTGGGACCGGAGATAGTACCAGAGCTGAGCCAAAAAGTTGAGCTCGTTTTTTCGTGACCTTCTGGTTCTGGTCTTAGAGTTACCTCTATGACGAGGGGGGCGAAACATCTAAATCTCAATTCTAGATACTCAAAAAATCTCACACTAGCGAATCAATCTTTGAAAAATCATCTTTCATTTCTCGCATCTACTTGCATCGTGTTTCATCTTTTTGCAGGAAATCTTCAAAATCGACATAAATCTTTCTTCTATCTACGCAGCGTGCGTGCAGCTAGCAACAGCAAAACACAATCTTTTCTGCATCGTAGATAGAGTCGTCCCCCTCGCTCTATGATAATATCAACACCTCTATACCTCTATGATAAGATTGATATTAGGCACCCATTTCGTCTTTCTCCTGCAGTGACAGGGCCAATGCCCGTTTCAATTACAAACCTGCACATCTGCACAACAGCAAAGGAGCCGCAGGAGGATCTGCCATTATCAGCATTCTGTTATTGTTGAGGATATAATTGCCAGTAAATATATTTTTTTCGGTTGAAGTTTTGCCAGCTCGGTTAACACGATGAAACAACCAGAAACACCTTCCGACACCCAAAAACACACATGAAACACAATAAGCACAGACACAAGAGTGACTTACCCCCTGGTTATGACCAAAAAACTAAAATGTTGGTTCAACTTCTCTGTTTTTTATTTTATTTATTTTATCCACCGCATCTCCTTGCTTCAACTCTGATAAATTGGTGTAAACAAAGAACGAGGGATCTCCTACTTGCGATTCTCGCTCACTCTCATCTCACCGTGATTTCGAGTGAGCCGAAGGGAGGCGGAGAGGCACGAAAAATCAAAAACAGAGAGATCTGTCAAATTTCCTTCGTGCATGGTGGAATCGAAAATCAGCGAGAACAATCGTATAAGATCAAATGATGGTTGTTTAAAATAGTGGATTCTGAACGTAAAATAGCTGAAATCAATTCGAATACGAGCTACACAGCACCTTGAAAGCAATTGTAAGTAAGAAGTAGTAGCATCAAGTCGCTTATGTTCCGAATAATGCCAAAACTCTTCCCCCATCAATCCAGCTTCGATTTACGCAACACCTACCGGTCGTCGGCGCCTCACCATACACAATGTTCCTGCGTCGCACTGCTTCCGCCCTAATGCGGTCACCGACAACCGCTGTCACCTCCTCTCCATCCCTCTCGACGGCCACAAACCCCCAGCTTACGGATCTGGACGATTTCCGTACCGGTGAAAGCGATCCTGCCCGGCACAATAAAAGCCACCTCTCGCGTTTCTACACCATCCCGGCGGAAGTGCGGAAGCAAGTGTTCTCCCACGGTGGATTTCCGAAAACGTTCGGGAAACAGATCAAAACATTTAACGAGGGTTGCTTGATGGTCCGTGAACCAGCAGTGGAAATTATCGATTATCTAAACCGGGCCGATTACAGCAAACCGGCCAATCGATTCGTCTTGTACGGAAAAGACGGCGTAGGGAAATCGCTTGTGTTGGCTCATTTGCTGCACTACGGGTTCAGCCGGGAGTTTGTCCTGGTTCACGTACCGTGGGTACCTAATTGGATGAAACGGGTTAAGGAAACTGCCAATTCGAGTACCCACGAAGGTTGCTTGGATCTGCCACTGGACGGAGCCGCTTGGTTGATTCACTTCAAGAACCAGAATGCTAAATTGCTCAGCAAGTTGGATCTGAAAGTGAGCCGGGATTACGTGTGGACCAAGCGAGAAACGACCCCGGCAGGGGCCCCAATGCTGGAACTGATCGATCACGGAATCAATCGGGCTAAGTTTTCGTGCGACGCGATTGCCGCACTTTTGCGGGAATTGAAAGAACAATCGACGCAAGGGAAGGCTAAGACGATGGTGGTGATTGATGGATTTAATGCGTTTTTCCACCCGCAGACCAGGGTTACGACGGAGAACAAGGTGAAAGTTACGCCGGATAAGGTGACGCTGACGAAGCCGTTCCTGGACATTACGAGCCACGATTGGTGCAATGGAGTTTGCATTTTAGCGGTAGATCGAATGGCGTTGACCGAGGAGCGGATGGAATCGGAGCTGCCGATGTATCTGTTGCGGCGGGAAGGGTTCGAGCATTTGGATCCGTTCGTTCCGGTTCGGGTGGACAACTATTCACCCGAAGAGTACCACAGCTGTGTGCAGTACTATCTGAACCGGAAGTGGATCCAAACGACCGAGCAGGGTTTCGACAAGGAGTTGGAGTTTCTGAGCGGAAAGAATCCGTTCAAATTTATGGAACTCTGTGCTAGTTTGTAGGTTCGAAAGGTTTGGTGAATACATTGTAGGAAACATATGTGGTGTGATATAGTTGTGAGTAAAAGAAACTTCCTATTTGAGCGACTGAAAGCATAAAAAGTAGAAGGGTCTGTACCTAGGGGCACAAATGGGAGCTTGACGTATGACCGCTAGGACACGGAACAAATGTGAAGAAAATTTTGTTCTTTTAATTGATCAATCATCTATTATCTTAACTCTTTCCGTTTTTGATTTGTAGGCGTACCAAATTTGTATTTTTTTTAAGGGAAGGTTGATGAAGAGAATCGATCAAAATCACTTGCACTCCTGTTCCAAGTTTGGTTACCAAATTACAAAAAATCAATTTTAAAGTCTAATTTTGGAATGTTCGCCTCTTGGTGGAGGTCTGAAATTCTTGAGTCAAAGGGACGATCAAGGATCATCCTAAGCACTCTGTTCTGAGCGACCTGAATTTTGTTTCTGTCAGTCTGAGCACATGATTCCCACACCGGAGCTGCGTAGAGGATCGCAGGTGCTATAATTTGTTTGTAGACAGCCAGTTTGTTCACCCTTGAGAGGCGGGATCTGCGGCAAATCAGTGGATACAGACATCAAGGCAGAACATTTGATTACGGTTTTCTCCACATGCGAGCGAAATAGGAGCTTTTCGTCAAACGACATCCCGAGATAGGTTACTTCGGCGGACTACTCAACCCTTGTGCCATCCATGATTCGGTACAAGAGGGAGCTGGTTTTAGTTTGGGCGATTACAAATGGAGGAACATGATTGTTTGTGTTTTGAGGGCATTGATTTTGATTTTCCACGTGGTGTCATAATCAGCAATGGCGTCAAGGCATCGTTGGAGCTTGTTTGTTATTTCGCGAGGCATCCTACCCTTGACGGTTATTGCGGTATCATCTGCGAACAGGAAGAACACGCAACCGTCTCCGAGGGGAGGAATGTCAGAACTCAGAAGTGTAGATGCTGTAAAGCAAAGGACCCAACAGACTTCCTTGTGGAGCACCTGCTGGGATGGAGAACGTGTTTGAGAGGCTGCCATTCAACGATACCTTAAACGACCTTTGCTGGAGGTACATACATACATACATTTATTTGTACAACATCACATTTAAGATAAGACATAATCAATAATAGTACGCCACAATACTCGGTTTGCGGCTGCCGCTCTCCATCCTCGGTCATGCCCAATGCTCGCTAGATCACGCTCTACTTGGTCCGCCCATCGTGCTCTCTGCGCTCCACATCTTCTTGTGCCAACCGGATCTGTAGCGAACACCAACTTTGCAGGGTTGTTGTCCGGCATTCTTGCAACATTCCCTGCCCACCGCATCCTTCCGGCTTTGACCATCTTCTGGATGCTGGGTTCGCCGTAGAGTGCAGCGAGCTCGTGGTTCATTCTTCGCCGCCACTCACCGTTCTCCTGCACACCGCCGAAGATCGTCCTTAGCACACGTCGCTCGAAAACTCCGAGTGCTTGCAGGTCCTCCTCGAGCATAGTCCATGTCTCGTGTCCATAGAGGACCACCGGTCTTATTAGCGTTCTGTACATGGTACATTTGGTGCGGGGGTGAATCTTTTTTGACCGTAGTTTCTTCTGGAGCCCGTAGTAGGCACGACTTCCACTGATGATGCGCCTTCGTATTTCACGACTCACATTGTTGTCAGCCGTCATTAAGGATCCAAGGTAAACGAATTCCTCCACTACCTCGCAAGTATCCCCGTCTATCGTGACATTACTTCCTAGACGAATCCTGTCATGTTCGGTTCCGCCTACTAGCATGTACTTTGTTTTTGACGTACTCACCACCAGTCCGACCTTTGCTGCTTCGTGTTTCAGGCGGGTGTATAGTTTTGCCACCGTTCCAAATGTTCTTGCGATAATGTCCATGTCGTCCGGCGTCCGCAAAGCACACAAATTGACCGGATTTCGTGAAAATCGTACCCCGGCTGTTGAGTCCGGCTCGTCGCATAACACCTTCTAGAGCAATGTTGAAGAGTAGGCATGAGAGTCCGTCACCTTGTCGCAGTTCCCGGCGAGATTCGAATGAACTGGATAGCTCACCCGAAACCCTTACGCAGTTTTGCACACCGTCCATCGTTGTTTTGATCAGTCTGATCAGCTTCCCAGGAAAGCCGTTCTCGTCCATGATTTTCCATAGCTCTGTGCGGTCGATACTGTCGTATGCCGCCTTAAAGTCGATGAACAAATGATGCGTTGGGACCTGGTATTCACGGCATTTCTGGAGGATTTGCCGTACGGTGAAGATCTGGTCCGTTGTCGATCGGCCGTCAATGAAGCCGGCTTGATAACTTCCCACGAACTCGGTCATTTTAGGTGATAGACGACGGAAGATGATCTGGGATAGCACTTGGTAGGCGGCATTCAAAATGGTGATCGCTGTGAAGTTCTCACATTCCAAATGGTCGCCTTTCTTGTGAATGGGGCACATTACCCCCTCCTGCCACTCCTCTGGTAGCTGTTCTGTTTCTCAGATCCTGACTATCATCCGGTGCAGGCAGGTGGCCAACTTTTCTGGGCCAATCTTGATGAGTTCGGCTGCGATACCATTGGTTCAGTTCCGTCTTCTGCTGCACTGACGTAGTCTTTTCCTTCATTGCGCTGGTCTCCCGTGCCTACGTTCTCCTCGCCATGCAGGTGCGCATCGAAGTGCTGCTTCCACCTTTCAATCACCTCACGTCCGTCCGTCAAGAGGCTGGGAGCCTTATCCTTGCAAATTTCGGCTCGCGGCACGAAGCCGTTGCGTGATGCGTTGAGCTTCTGCTAGAACTTCCGTGCTTCTTGGGAACGGCACAGCAGTTCCATTTCCTCGCACTCCGCTTCTTCCAGGCGGCGTTTCCGCTTCTGTTTATACCGTTCCACGTCCTGTCGGGTTCCATGCTGCAGCATTACCGCCCGCGCTGCATTCTTCTCCTCCAAAATCGCTCTGCACTCCTCGTCGAACCATTCATTCCGTCGACTTCTTTCCACGTACCCGATGGTGCTCTCGGCTGCGTCGGTGATGGCTGCTTTTACTGTACTCCACTGTAGTCCTATAGAGGGGGCGCATCGAGCTCGCCCTCCTCTGGCAACGCTGCCTCGAGATTCTGCGCGTATGCTAAGGCGACATCCAGTTGCTTCAGTCGCTCTAGGTTGTACCGTTGCGGGCGTCGGTACCGTACATTGTTGATGACGGAAAGTTTTGGGCGCAGTTTCACCATCACCAGGTAGTGGTCAGAGTCGATGTTAGCGATAATGTCGGAGAAGTGCCGTCCATCAATCAGAACGTGGTCGATTTGTGATTCCGTCTGCTGTGGTGATCTCCAGGTGTAACGATAGGGGAGGTGGTATTGGAAGAAGGTGCTACGTATGGCCATGTTCTTTGAGGCGGCGAAATCGATGAGTCGTAGGCCGTTCCCGTTCGTCAGCTGTTGGGCGCTGAACTTCCCAATCGTCGGTCTGAATTCCTCCTCCTGGCCTACCTGAGCGTTTGGGTATCCTATGATGATCTTGACGTCGTGGCTTGGGCAGCGATTGTACTCGCGGTCGAGCTGCGCGTAAAATGTGTCCTTGTCATCATCAGTGCTTCCGGAGTGAGGGCTGTGCACGTTGATTATGCTAAAGTTGAAGAATCGGCCCTTGATCCTCAACCTGCACATTCTTTCGTCGATCGGCCACCAACCGATCAGGCGCTTCTGCATTTCGCCCATCACGATGAAAGCTGTGCCCAGCTCGCGTGTGTTACCGCAACTCTGGTAGATGGTATGATTACCTCTGAACGTTCCATGGATCCTGTCCAACACACCTCCTGCAGCGCTACGATGCCGAATCCGCGGTCCTTCAGTAGATTGCCGAGTATTCGGGTGCTCCCGATGAAATTGAGGGATCGACAACCGAGTTTCTAATCGCAAGTCCTATTTCGTCGCTGGGGTCGTTGCCTTTGGTCTCGGTTCGTATTCCTCTGTTGCTGATTTTCCGTTGCAATGCTTTTTTTACGGCTGGCTCGCAGGAGGACCAGGGTGCACAGTTGTGCTTAGAGTCCTTCACTGGCAGTCGGACGTAGACCAGCCGCCCCTAAAATGGGAACAGACGCTGTTGTGAGCCGCTCCTCCTGGAGAACAGACGCTCAGGCTGCCCCCCCTTCTCTGTCAGCCTATGACCAAAGTTCCCACCGGGGTTGGTTACCCGATCTTCCCCAAGGTTGCTCACAGTTCCCGGCCGGTACCACGGGGAGGTAGGGATAGGAGTTGCTGGGAAGAGGCTAGTGATCTCAATGGGATCTGTATTGCGCATTACCCAGAATTAACCGAGGTAGTTACGGGTGATTTTAACAAGATGCAAAGGAAAGTTGAAGTTACAAAGCTTGTACACAAGCCCATTGTGCCAGACATTGTCAAACGCCTTTTCAGCGTCTAACAAGGCCATGGCTGTGGACTTGGATACATCTTTGTTACTTCGGATGTTAATCATCATCCGTACTAGCTGGTAATTGGTGGAATGCCCCTTTCTGAATCCAAACTGTTCCGGAAGGAGAATGTTATATTCCTCGACAAACTTGAGCAAACGATTGAGAATGAGTTTCTCGAACAATTTGCTCAGCGCTGAAAGGAGGCTGATTGATCTATAGCTTGAAGGCAATGTTGGGTTTGCGGATTGGTATGATTTTTGCTACTTTCCAGATGCTTGGAAAGTAGTGCAGTTCCAAACATCTGTTGTAGATAGCGGTTAGAAGAGACTGCACTTCCATACTGAGTCTCTTCAAGATCAAGTTGAATATACCGTCAAACCCGGGAGCCTTCATGTTCTTGGTGCATTTCAGCGCTGAGCAAATCTGTTGTACTGTAATCATATCCGCCGGAGGCACGACACAAGGGGAGGTATCTAGGTTTTGAACGAATTGCGCAACCTGATCATCGAGCGGACTTTGGATAGTCGAGCCAAGCAAATGCGATGAAGCGACATGCTTGCCGATCGTATTTGCTTTCTCCTGTGGGGTGATTCCCGAATAGAAATTGTAATGTAGGAAACATCAGCA